ACGAGGAGCGACAAGATCGCTCGATCTTGCTGGATCCAGAACTCGTACGCCGGATTGGGGATGGTGGTGGAGACCGTGGCGTCGGAGGCTTCATCGCCGGCGGTAGTTGAAGGGAGGACGGCCGGAGGACAAGGCAGCTCGCCATCCACATAACCAAGTAAACCTTGGCCACGGAGGAAAGGGATCATTTGTGTTCTCCAAAAGAGAAAGTTTCTTGTGGTTAGTTTTAACGACACAAAGTGATGTGCCGATGATAGGGAGGTGGGGGTTGCCGGCGAATTGGAGGTGACAGCGGCAGTAACGGTACGCTCGCTTGAATTCGTCGACATTTTGAGGAGAGAGAGTAACCCAGTCTGCTGATACCAGATGAGATTACGAATGATTGATTCAAACTGTTGAGACAGGATTACAACGAGGATTAGAACTCTAACTACTCCTACACATCAGGATAACAGTTGGAGACTAATTCCTGTTTACAGATAATAATAATAATAAACATTATTACTCACACATATAACCAACTGCACTGGCCTACGTAAACACGTAGCCTATAATGGACTTAGCGTCCTTTGATATCCGTGCTGTACTTTCCAAGTACAGCTAGATATCCCACGTAGTGCAGTCCAAAGTCACGAGCATATCCTCTTAAATGTTTCCAAGTATTTATGATTTGTAATAGTGATTTAAGTATACGAAGTGGTAGAATAACCTCTTAAATGTTTAATTAAACAAAAATTCTGTAATGTAAATAACCTTTCAAATACCAAAATATTTATATAAAAAAAAAAATTATAGATCCAATAAACATTGGACAACGAAGAGTTACATAAAGTAATTAATAAAAATATTTATTTACTCTAAATGTTATAACAAAAATTCTGATATGTATATAATAACCTTTCAAATACCAAAATATTTTCTAAAAAAAATTACAAATCCAATAAACATTGGACAACGAAGATTTACATAAAGTAATTAATAAAAATATTTATTTAATCTAAATGTTATATATATATATATATATATATATATATATATATATATATATATATATATATATATATATATATATATATATGATAGCAAGGATAAAGATAATAATTGTAACAATAATTGCTCATAAAAACAAGGGAAAATGGCACTTTTTTCCCCTGAGTTATATACTTATAGCCCTTTTTCCCCCTCAATTATTTAGGTAAGCACATTAGCCCCTTCAATTATTCTAAAAGTGGTAGTTTTTCTCCCTGATATATTAAATTGACATTTCTACCCTTAAAGTAAACATTTTATTTATTTTACTTCTCCAACAAATTATCGCGAATACGTAGGGATGACCAAGGTTCGGATCAAACTGAACCGAACACTATAGCAATTGAATTAAAAGTTTCCGGTTATGATTCAGATCTAGAACCTAATATTTGGATTTCAATTTATTAAAGTTATGAATCAAAAAATTGGATCTTGAACCGTGAATCGGTGGTTCTGGATCCGGTTCGCGATTTTGAACCGTCTTTATTTTAAAATTTTATTTTTTATTTTAAATATTCTAAATTCAAAAATAAATGAATTTTATTTTTTCAGTTTGGAACATGAACCGTCCATTCCGGTTCGCGATTTTAATAAACTCTAAATATCGAGTTTCGATTCTAAATTGTAATTGGAATATTTCAGTTTGGTTGCTATAGTGTTTGTTTGTTTGAACCAAATTATGGTCATAATTTGTTGGAGAAGGAAAATAAATGAAATATTTATTTTAAGGGTAAATATGTCTATTTAACATTTCAGGGGGGAAAAATAGCCACTTGAATAATTCAAAGGGGAAAAGTGCTATAAGTATATAACTTAGGGGGAAGAAGTGCCATTTTCCCTAAAAACAATATGTTTGATTTACCTTCACAAAAAATATTAAAATGTTTTGGAGGGAAAATTTTGTGGCCTTGGATTTTGCTTTATTATATTTAAAGAAGATAAAGATTTTCTACACATACTAGTTTTATTATAGCAATACCAAAGTATTACTTTAATTCTACTATAGTTTCATTTGACATATACATTATTGCATGGGCGCTATTTTGTTATTTCATTTTCCACACACACTAGTTTAATTATAGTAATATTAGAGTACTATTTTAATTACGCTAGGTTCATTTGACAATATATGTTATTGTATGACTCTGAATTTTAGTTTCATTTTCCATACATACTAGTTCCATTATAACGACGCTAAAGTATCATTTTAATTATACTTCAGTTTCATTTGACAATATACGTTGAATAAGCTATGCTTTTAAGTTTCATTTTCACACACTAGTTTCATTATAGCAACGCTGGAGTATCATTTTAATTATACTACAGTTTCATTTGACGATCATAGTCCACCTAGCACTGTGGACCATGGTCCATTGTATAACAACTGACCCCTAATGTAGGCCAGAAAGAGTGCTTATCAATTGTTATGCCGTGGAACCATGTCCACCTTACAAGGTGCACACGGTTCTATGTTCATAATTACTGAACTCTATGTTTATAATTATAAAACTCTATGTTCATAATTTTTGAACTTTATATTCACAGTTATTGAACTCTATATTCACAATTACAGAACTCTATGTTCATAATAATAGAACTATATGTTCATAACTCTTATGTTCAAAATTATAGAGCTCTATGTTCATAATTTTTGAATTCTATATTCATAATTGTGACAGTTTTAGAACTCTGTCCACATTGCAAGGTAGGCACGGCAAATTATATCATGCACCGTGGTGCAAAATCGATTATGCACCGAGATTCAAAACGACGTCGTTTTATTTAATGAAAAGAAACGACACCCGTTTTGCGCTGTTTCGCAAAAAGTAACTCTGTTATTCAGTTTCATTTTGTATACACTGCATTTTCAGTTCAACGCAACTACAGTTTCATTTCGATATAACTACAGTTTCATTCGATATTTATACACTCAAATATGTGAAAATGTTATTTAATTTTATTTTATATACACTTTAGTTTCATTAAAACACAACTACATGATCATTTCGATATAACTACAGCTTCATTGCACAATATACACTCAAATATGTGAAATGTTATTCAGTTTCATTTTATATAAACTGTAGTTTCATTTCACCACAACTACAGTATCATTTTGATATAATTGCAGTTTCATTTGATAATATATAAAATATTACGTGAGGTAGTGTTGGTTTAGATACATTGTAGTGTCAGTTTAGATACACTGTAGTTTCAGTTGGTAATTAACATACCAAAAAATACACGATCCGTTAATAGTAACGACACGCCGTTTCTTTACTTAAAGAAACGGTGCCGTTTTAACCGCCGATACACATACACCGCGGTCCACGATATAACGACTAAGTGGACAGAGTTCCACAGCATAATTTGCCAGTGCATATTGATTTCAATTATTCCTATGACCCAATTAAATTTTGGGCCTCAATTCCCCAAACTCAGTTGGCTTGGGCCCTGGAGCCCATTCCACCCAAGATGATAATTGAGGAGCAATCATACCATTTTATTTTTTGTTTTAAACCATTTATATCGTGCACCAAGGCGCACATTGTATACTAGAATACATAATTTTATACTAGAATATACATAATTGTATACATTAATGTACATAATTGTATAATAAAATACACATACTTTTAAAAAAAAAAAAGATAATACACATCATCTAACATCATACATAATACACATAAACTTTTAACATAATACACATAAATTTCCTGTTTCGGATGTACATAATTGTATAAAAAATGTACAAAATTGTATAAACAAATACACATAATTATATACCATAATGTACATAATCACGTCAACTCCCTACATAACTTATCAAAACGACGTCATTTTGGGAGGTGCGAGGCGCACAGTGCTGTATACACCGTGGTGCAGGGTATGACGATTGCTCCCAGATGAATAGCATTTCGGTTTCCTTCAGCTTGCTTCCGTAACCCTCAAAGGGGTTTCACTTTCCCCCCGTCTGTGTTTTCTTTGCAAGTCTTCCTAATTTCCTTTTATTTACGAAATACCAAATTTTGCAGTTGAAGAATAGAAGCGCATTTTAGGTTTTGATTTCGAGTGACGCATCAATTTAATGGCTAAACGTCGGCTAATAAAAACCAGCGTAGCGGATGCAAATAGGGATTTCATAAGTCCTCTACCAGTAGAGTTAAAGCACAGAATTTTGGAGTGTTTGCCCACCCAAGACGCCGCCAGAACTGCTCTACTCTCAACCCACTGGAATCATGTTTGGTTGCAGCATGGGAAGCTTGCGTTCGATAGGCACTTCTTCTCAGAGAGTGTTGAACAGGGGGGTCACGATGATGAAGGAAAAACTCTCGTTGACATAATAAATAGTATTCTCCTTTCCCGTGCTGGTCCGGTTAAGAAATTTACTCTAGCCATTGAAAATTATGATTATGAGATGCGGCAATCTGATTTCAATAGGTGGTGTGTTTTTCTATCAAGAAATGGTGTGGAGGAGCTTAACATAGGTTTTTTAAATTTTAGAGAGGCTGAATACAAGCTGCCATTTTGTATAATCTCGTGCCGCACAATTAAGCAACTGAGTGTTGAAGGTATCTTTATTGATTTCAATGATTTGCCGGTAAATAATGTTGGTAGTATATTTTCCAATGTCACTTCATTATCTTTTGTGTATGTTGAATTTAGGCGAACTGTTGCCTCTAGTATTAGTATTAGTATTCCTAACCTTGAAAAGCTGGCTGTCCAATATTGTGGAGGGATCAATAAATTTGAGATTATCGCTTCAAAACTTGAAAAGTTGTCTGTTCATAGTTGTGTGCATGATCTGGTTGAATCAAGATGGTTGGCACCACATTTGAAATCAATTAAGACTCTTTGGTTGTGTGGCTTTTCCTTGTTGGTGAGAAAATCTGCCTGCCTCATTTTACTTTATGCAAAAACACATTTTATTTCATTACTTTCCTTCTGGCTTAATTGTTAAAGTTGCCTAATTTTCTTTTTCTTTCTTTATTACTATCTTTCAAGTATATGGACGCATCTTTGTTTGGATCTGCAATAAATCTCCAACTACTGGGGTTGTATAATTTTAGTTTTGGTTGTGAGAAGCAGCTCATCGTTGCTATACAATTGCTTCAAAAATGCCCCAACCTATGTGAACTGGGAATTCTGGCAGATGAGGTTGAGTATACATTTAATTTGGCAATTGTACATATATGATTCTTCTGTTTTTTCTTTTTCAAATGTGAAATGTCCTCACAGTCATGCATACTTCATCACGAAGCTGCTTCAAGACTTCTAAAGGATCCAGATGGTTGCTTTATTGTTCAGGATCTAGAGATGCTTAAAACAATCAAGATTGAATCATTTAGTGGATCCATAGTCGAAATGCTTTTTGTGAGAATGCTGCTTTCAAAATCCCCTGCACTAGAGAGAGTTATTATTTCAAAATCCTTTGTAGCGGTCAAAAGCCTAAAGGTGTTGTTGCATTTTCCTCGTGCATCTCCAAAAGCCCAAATTGTTTGCATGGAACACGAACTATTTGATTACACATGGTTTTAACCTTGTAAGAATTTAGTATGATGAAGCTCCATGGGTTCAGTTTGGATGCAACCTATATATAGAGTGAATATATTTGGCAATCATGATTTTCTTTTTTCTTAATTTCCTCATGGCTGTACTTAATTTTCATTTCATGTTGAGTTGTAGAGATGTTTATCTAATGAGATAAGATTTTTGGAGTATCTTATTGACTATGATCTAAAAATGCTTAACACATTGAAGATTGAATTGATTTAGAACATCCACACTAATTTTTTTTTTTTTTCTGTGAAAATGTTACTTTCTAAATCCCTTGCTCGAGAGAAAGCTATTAAATGTGACAGAAGCTACCACTGTCTAAGTAGCAATTTTTGCAGTATGAGCTTAAATTTTTGAAAGCTATTAAATGTGACAGAAGCTACCACATTAAAGAATATTGCAGTATTCCCCCACAATTTTTATTATATTTTATTGTAATGTGAAAGTGTGATTACTATTCAAAGTGAGGACGTATTGTAAGAATGTAGAAAAAATATTAAGTAAATTTTAAATTTAATGATGTAAAAATATGATTTACTTTTATAAGTGAGAGGGTATGGAACATGGATAGCCTTAGGCTTTTGTTTTTTTTTTTTTTGTTTTTTTTTTTTTTAGTACTATTGACTATGTTATAATGTAGTATCTATTCATACATACTTTCACAACTTACTGAAACACAAAGAGTCAATGTTTGCACCGGAGTTCGAACTTATGACCTTCAAATAGGAAAGTTAGTGGCATTTGTGACAAATGTGAATTAATCCAAACGCATGTTTTTGCCATAATATGGTTTGAATCAAAAGAGGCAATGTTACATTTTAAGTCAAACTTAGATGTACTTTTATTTATTAAATATTTTTAAAAGGATCCAAATTAAATTATTGTACATGATTCTTTTTATCCGGTAGCTATATATATCATTGACCAAATTCACTTTGTGATGTTTTTTATTTCTTTGCTTTTCTAAGTTTGATGTAGTGGTATCTACTTGTAAAGATGCTATATCGAAACTTTTGGAGGAACATCATATTGTGTCTTAAACAAACAAAATGTTGCATACTTTGAACTTTGAATCTTAGCTCATTTAAAGATTCAAGGTTTAAAATGCTTCTCGTTAAAGGGAAACTTGTTGCTTTTCAACACTTGAAAATATCATCATGACTTGTTACAAAATGTATGAATACAATGAGGAATTTAATGTTACGTGTGAGCTTTTATGTTTTCTTATGTCCACAAATTAAAAAGAAGAAATTGTTTGCATTTAATGAGGGTCCTTCAAAGTTAGATGTAGTGGTGCACAACTCCCTTTTGGGTAGACATTGTGAGTGGTTTTTATTGGACTTAGCTTTAAATGAAAATGATTTAGTGAGTAGTAATTGACCTATGTTTTGCTTGTTCATTATGGAAAACAATCTATGGACCATACAATTCCCTTGTTCAGCGATTCCTTAGATATGAGGATTAGTGTCTAATTCCCGCTACACAATGCAATGAACTCAATGCTAGATGAAGTTAACTTATTAAAGCAAGAAAATGGAGTATAAATGAAGTAATTTATTAAATCTTCAAAAAAGTTATAATTTGATTGAAATGGAATCAATGTATATCAAGATCCCAAAATAATCTATTAACTTGATAAGTCATTATTGGAAAAGGAATTTCGTTAACAACGTAACAACAGGATTACGGAGTATATCTAACTCTAACTAATCCTATCAAATAGCTAAACTAAGTCAAGCTATCTAAGCCACATAATATAAAACATATAAGATAAATAATAATAATAATAACTTATACTAACACACCCCCTCAAGCACAAGGTTGGAGGGCAACAACATTGAGCTTGTCACGCATAGCAGCAAAGCGCGGAGCGGGTAGCGGCTTCGTCAAGATATCTGCAAGCTGATCTGTCGTAGAAACATAATTGACCAGGAAGTCACCCGAAGCCACCTTATCACGGACGAAGTGATAATCTATTTCCACATGTTTCGTACGTGCATGGAACACCGGATTAGCACACAGATACGTGGCCCCTAAATTGTCACACCATAACGTTGCAGGCTTCCCGGAATGTAACCCAAGTTCGCGCAGCAAAGAAACTACCCAAGTAACCTCGGCGGAGACATCAGCCAAGGCCTTGTATTCGGCCTCAGTGGAGGACCTAGAGACAGTACGCTGCTTCTTCGAGAGCCAGGAGATTAAATTATCACCAAGGTAGACAGCAAACCCGCTCGTGCTTTTCCTATCCACTGGACAACCAGCCCAATCAGAGTCTGAATAAGCGTGAATATCGGATGATGCAGAAGGAGAAATCCGAAGCCCCAAGCTCAGAGTACCCTTAATATACCGTAGTACTCGCTTCACCATACCCCAGTGTTCCTCCGTAGGCGCGTGCATAAACTGACATAGACGGTTTACAGCAAAACTCAAATCCGGCCTCGTAATAGTTAAGTACTGTAACGCCCCGACAATGCGCCGATACTGGGTAGGATTATCATAGAGCTGAGTGGAAGGTGTAGTAGTCTTCGTGACGGCTGCTGGTGTGGTAAGAGGCTTACAGTCAACCATACCTGAACGCCCTAACAGATTAGTCATATAGCGCCGCTGTGATAGAATCATCCCGCTAGTAGACGAAACAGTCTCAATACCCAAGAAGAAACCCGGTGAGCCTGGATCCCGAATCTTGAAGGTAGAGGCTAGCTGCTGGAGGATAGTATTAACCACCGTGCTGTCGTTCCCCATCATAATTATGTCGTCAACATATATAAGAAGATAGACACGTGCAACGCCTGAAGTGTAGTAAAACAAGGATACATCTGTCTTTGACGATTTAAACCCTGCTGATAATAGAAAATCGTGAAGACGCTTAAACCAAGCACGTGGGGCCTGTTTAAGACCATATAATGACCACTGTAAATGGCAAACATGCCCTGGTGTGGACGGGTCCTCATACCCCGGTGGCTGCTTCATGTAAACTGTTTCTGCTAGGTGGCCGTTCAAAAAGGCGTTGTGAACATCTAGTTGTCGTAGAGTCCACTTGTTGGTTACGGCTAGAGAAAACAAGAGTCTAACCGTGGTTGGTTTTACAACTGGGCTGAATGTGTCGAAGAAGTCTTCCCCAGCTACCTGATTGAACCCTTTGGCTACCAACCGAGCCTTGTACCGTTCTACTGACCCATCTGCAGTACGTTTCGTCCGGAATACCCACTTGCACCCAATTATATTCATATGTGGCTCGGGGGGAACCAGACGCCAAGTTTGATTATGTAACAAGGCGTTGAATTCTTGATCCATGGCCTCTCGCCAGTGGGGGTGCCCTACAGCTTGCGAGTAACAAGTGGGATCAGTGACCGCTGTTAAGGCATGGAATGGTTCCGATGAGCCTTTGGTCATGTGACGAAGGCGCATAACATGATCACGACCTTGCGGTTGTGCACGCCGTTTGCGAGTTCGTACCGGAGCAGTCTGTGTGATTGCCAACTGAGGTGGAGCCCTAGCCAGTGGTAATGGTTCACTTTCAGACTGGACAGTACTAGTTGGTGAAACGTGACTGCTGGGTGCGGGTAGGCACAAGGGTGCTGCTGCCCAAGGTATCTCCGGAGGTGTAGATACCTGTGTGTAATTTCCTGTTGCAAAAGGAAAGTTAGTCTCGTCAAACCGCAAATGGCGGCAGATGTAGGTTTTCCCAGTCGCCAAGTCAACACATCTATATCCCCTAAAAGAGGGTGGGTAACCTAGGATGACACAAGGAATAGAGCGGTACTCGATTTTGTGTCGATTGTATGGACGGAGATGCGGGTAACATCGACACCCAAAGACTCCGAGAAAATTGTAGGGTGGTGACGTTTTGAATAAGCGGGTGTATGGACTCTCAAAATTAATTGCTGACGATGGTAAGTAGTTGATTAAACATGTTGCTGTTTCAAAGGCGTAGTCCCAATATTGTTGCGGGACTTTGCCTTCAGCAAGTAGGGTGAGACCTGTTTCAACTACATGCCTGTTTCGGCGTTCGACTTTGCCATTTTGTTCATGTGTATAGGCACATGATTGACGATGATTTATGCCTAGAGTTTGGAATATTGTATGGAGTTTGCGGTATCACCCCCTAGATCGGACTGAATAGACTTGATAGAGCGCGAAAACTGCCGCTCTACCAGGACACGAAACGACTCAAAAACTTTATATATGTCTGATTTCACCCTTAATGGGTAAAACCAGCAAAATCTGGAGTAATCGTCTACAAATAAACAAAAATAACGATTACCACTACTAGATAGTTCCGGGGAAGGCCCCCAAATATCGGTGAAAATTAAATCAAGTACATTATCACTGGAATAGGGAACACTATCTAGTTTAAAACGGGACGATTTGCCCAGATGACACGATGCACATTGCTCGGGATTTGTGTTTTTATTGATTGTGACGGGACAGCTTTGCAACACTTTATTTAAGACTTGACTGTGCGGGTGACCAAGCCGGTTATGCCACACAGTGGGAGAGGCACGGGAACTGACGAACGCGTATCGTGATCGTAACTTCGGAACCTTGTACAACCCGCCAGACGTGGATCCTTTAAGTAGAACCGCCTTGGTTGTGGAATCCTTCACAAAAAACGAATCACTATGAAATTCAAAAAAGACTTTGTTGTCATTAGTAAACTTATGAACGGACAATAACGGAACAGATAAACGAGGGACATATAACTCATCATTTAAGTGGAGAGTTTTAGTTTTGGACGGAATAGACGTGTGACCGACGCGTGAGATGGCCAAACCTGCCCCATTGCCGACACGTAGCACATCCGATCCACCATATTCCTCGGAATTGCCAATCATTGTCACGTCGGGAGTGGCGTGCGCGGTGGCCTCGGTGTCGGGATACAACCCATCCGAAGCATGCGTTACGGAGGCCGATGGTGCCTCTCCGGACACGGCTACATGCGCCTGAGCGGGTGGTTGCGTAGAATACCGCTTAAAACAATAAACGGCCGTGTGACCGTGGGAGCGGCAAATTTGACACCGTTGATTCCCACGGCCACCACGACCGCCACCACGATTTGAGCTTCGGCCACCATTGCCGCTAGAACCCCGTCCACCGCCACGGTTCTGATTTCGACCGCCACCTGAACTGCCTGAGCCGCGTCCCTGTCCGGCGTACAACGCAGTGTGAGC